TGTGCCCTCTAAGCAAAATTCTCAAATGACACTTCACTCAGCGAGGGATTGTACTATATAGAAACATTATATGGTTGTGAATCGATGCTCAATCAAACCTTTCATATTTTCCCCTCTAAGCAAAATTCTCAAATGACACTTCACTCGGCGAGGGATTGTACTATATAGAAACATTATATGGGTGTGAACCGATGCTCAATCAAACCTTTCATATTTCCCCCTATGCATACAGTCACACGTTTGGGTACTTTTATCGCGCAGTTTATTTGTTAAGGCAACTTTCTTTATTCCACTTGTCATGCAAGATTTTTCATGTATAAAGATACAGTTCACCCCATTGAAAACTTTTTAAAGCAGTGAGAGTCATTGGTATAGTTTAAAAGCTCACGAAAGATAGTGACAAGCATTGTATCCAAATATTTTGAGTCTCATGACGAAGGCACCCTTCATAGCCATTAAACTAGCCTCCCTAGATCACGTAGCAATGTAGAGACTAGCAATTCAAAGTAAAATGAGCTTGAAATGGAAAAGGAGATTGTGGCATTATTTGAAAAAATTTCAAAAATTTATGCACATAGCACACACAATGAAGGTAGAAGGATGAAGAGCAAACTACCATACCAAATCCCACTTAAAAGTTAAAACTTTAAAAAGGACAATGTCCTCATCTACACCTACACTACTTATACATTTTAAAGAGTTTGATTTGTTCTATTTCAAATTTCCTGCCACGAGAGTTAAAGTAGGAAGGGTATTGTCGTCTACACACTCAATTTTTTATTTCATATAAAATTATATCAATGCTAGGATTTGAACCCTGGACTCCTCCATAAAATACAAGAATTGTAACCAATTAGACTAGACACATTTGTTATACTTTATTAATACAAAACATAGAGGAAGTTAAAATTATGAAAAACATAGTACTTTTCTATCACAGTTAGTTAGTCCGCTAAGTCTCCTGTAAGTATTGTATGGTGTTTGATAATTCTATTTTCATATTTTAATAATTAATTTAGAATTTTTTCTAACTTATAAATGAAGGATAATCTTAAAATCTCAACACAAATATCATTGGTTGGAATATTGCGGATCGAATTGAAGTGTTGAATGAAGTGTTCAATGACGACATAAGAACATTGGTACCATACATTTCAAGAAAAATAAACATGACAAACACCGATACCAATTATCTCGACAATCTATGCTAAAATTCGAATTTGTTTAATCATTCAATTTGAGTGATAGTTTAGTCAAAGCAAGCAAATAATTCACGATTGTGTATGAACAGAAATAAAAACATATGTATTGTATTATGAAAAATGTATTTATTTTAACAATCTAAAAAAACAATCAAGACTTCCATATACAACCCTTTATTTCAGCATTGTAATTAATGAAATAATTTTTATCAACATGATGCAATGTTCAATCTAAGGTCCAATTATTAATCACCAGTATATAGTGTTCAACTTAGTAAACTATTTCAATATCCACAGCTAACTATTAATGATTACTTGCTTTCTGTTTGAGGGTTTAATGTAACACTCTCATGCCTACACTCTAAGCATTTTTTTCTTTTTTCCAATATTTTTTGCAGTTATTTGTTAAATCAACTATGTTTCTAGCTTTCCATTCCTAATTATTCACTACTCCTACCAACTTATGGGAATGATGGATATTTTTTTCATGTATAATCTATTGACTATGAATGTTGCTTATTACTTAAATTCAACGGTATCCATGTTAGGTTTGATGTCTCCAACATATTCTCACAATTTCTCGAAAAAGCATCATATCTTGCTATTTATATCATAGTTTTGTTAGGTAATGTTCAACAAACTCAATCAATATTCGAACTCTTTGAAGTAGTTATCTACATGTGAATATGAAGTACTGAGTAGCTAAAACTCTACTTGAGTTAGTACGATCTTTTGCACTATCAATTAAAATTCAATACATGATTATCTTATTACAATTTAGTCATACTAATTGTGCAGTAGGGGACATCTTATCAAAATCGTATCGAAAGACTCTTTGATTGATCAGTTTTAGGATGTAATCAATTATACCATATAGAAGTGATCAAATTTATAAGATGCTCTCAAAGTTTGCTATAATTATTGAGGTTCAACAACATGTTAATCGTAAGGTGGTCATTGGGCATTTGTCTATCTCCTAGCTCGCCTATACACGCTTAGACATTGTAATAAAAATAGTAATTTTTAATAATGATGAATGAAGTAACAGTTCTGAAGCACTTTCATACTTCAGTTCAAATGATTTAACAACAAGCAAAATAACTCTCAAGTTTATAATTTTTTTATACCAAATGGTATAATTAATTCATTTATGAGCTGAAATAGCTAATTATAAGCACTTAAATTTTAAAGTTAAAACTCATATGATACAATTGTTTGACGAAATGCTTTTTATCATAGAGTGGTTCTATCGAGAGAGGTCTTTAAGAAACATGACTTACTTTATTATTCCTTAGGTAGATATAATATATATCTTCATCGTTACTTTTACATTAGATTCAATTTAATATACATTTTTCGTTTAGATAGATTTTTTTATGATTTTTTGGGATATAATATATCATTATTTTATGATGGTGTAGGATATTAGTTCCTCTCATTTTAGGTTCAAATTGATGCATTTCCCCTTTATCGTTTCCTTTTATCAGTTAATAATTTTTATGATATTTTTCACTATGAAATATCGTAAGCAGAATATATACACAACAATTTGTGTTTTTTTTTCGCTTTCCCTTCTCTTGTTGGATATTGTGTCCATATTGATTGTTATATTGATTATTAAATTACTACTTTTTTGTTCTGAAGTTTCTGAAACTAAGATGCATTGTTTTTAGAAACATAAAACTAAGATGCATATTGATAAAGAATGCCTAATTTACATAAGAACCATACATTTTGTTGGATGAAAACTTGAAAGAAACTTGAAAGAAATGTCTTTTTTATGATAATTGCTAAGAGACTAAGTCAATTCACACAAACAAAACAATTCAGTAACACTATACCATTAGCATATATTTTTGTTAGGTGAATACTTCTATTGATTGTAAGAAATTGTATTAGTTACATATATTTATATTAAAGGTTAACTATAACTATGTGTTGATTGTTATATTTTATTCATTATATAAATTATGAATTGATATATTAACCGAAATTTTTTCTCACTTAATGATAATGTGATGTTATATTGGTTAACCAATTAATCAAACCGATTAAACTTTTAACTAAACCAAAATTTAATCAGGTTGGTTGATTTGATTAACCAATTAACCAAACCGATTAAACTTTAGCTTAGTTAATTTGGTTGTTATATTAGTTTGGACGGTTTGGTTATGATATTGTATTCCATGGTTAATAGAATTTAGGCTTATTTGGTTTGGTAATTGCCATGGTAACCATTTGAACATCCCTAAATTATTCCTGACTAGTCAAACCAAACTAACTAGTTAAGTAATTAGTCATATCTACTCATAATTTGGGTTAAGAGAAATCCGATCCAACCTGTCTCATTGTCATCCCTACTCATAATTTTGCGAAAACCGATCCAATCTGTCTCATTGCCATCCCTACTCATAATTTTGCGAGAGTAGATTCAGGTCAAGCTCAGTTATGACCATGGTTGTCATGCTGGTCGGTACAACCGGTACAGATTACCAAACTAACTAAAATGCCCCGGTATGACCGACATAATTGATTTTCGACCTTTAAACAAAATGACGCCGTGTTAGGGAATTTAATTAATATTTTTTATTTATTTCTTAATTTGAAAGTTAAATGTTGATATTATTTGTTGGATTCAAGTATGAATATTTAGATGTTTATGTTATTTGTTAGATTAAAGTATAGACTCTTGGATGTTTGCATTAAAAGTTGTATTTATATGATGATTTTCATTTTGTTTGTATTGTTGTATTTTATTTAAATATGGATGTAGAATTTAGAGAGATTATCTTCTAATATGTTATATATATAACTAAATTCATTTATTTTTAATGATTTCCCACTCTCCTATATATTTTGCCAAAATCCACATGAACTAGTTTAAATTGGTTGTACTACCGATCGAAGCATACCACTTGCCACACCCGCATAAAGGTGTAAAACAAGAATTGTAAAACCGTACCAAGGGTTATATAAAAAAAATAAACGATAAAATATTTTTATTTTATGCCAAAATCGTGATATAATTGTGGTTCAATCATTTCATATCATTAAAATCGGCCTACTAGTTTAGGTTGCGATAGGAGGTTTACAGTTTTTTATTTTTCAATATAACGGTTCGACAAGCTTCGTTGTGACATAGGCCGAGGAGCAGATTTAAGACACCCCTAAAATTTCGGAAAATAATTATCGAAACCTCGGTAGTAGTATGTGTATGGCGAAAAAAAGTACATATAGCTAGTGAGATTTGATATTAGTGTCAATAATTATTAGTGTCAGGGGAGTTCTACAGTACCTATGGTGAAATCCGGGGTGCCTCATACCTTGAGTAAGAAAACGCTATTCAGAACTTGAATTGACTGATCTTTCGGACATGATACTACACTCTAACCCTTAAAGATCAAAATCTAGGTCTTAATTATCTAAATCTTATACCCCATGATAAATTTAATTAGAAACAATAATCGACGGTTATGATTCGTCCAAATATAGGCAAAAAAATCAATGCACTATCTTAAGGTTTATAGTTTATATGATTTAGATAATTAGGACCTAACGTTCACTCATTAAGGGTTAGAATATAATATCATGCCCAAAAATCCAACTATTTCGGGGTCTAAATAGCATTTTCATACTCAAGGTATGTGATACCCGAATTTCACCCAGAATACCGTAGAATTCACTCGTAGTGTCAATATTTTCCTTTATACTACAACTAATTTGTTGTTATAAATTCAACACAAATTTATTTATTTGATCTTTAATTGGCCAGACAGCTAAAAATAATTATCTGTATCGGGACACCCCTACCTCAGCCGATACCAACGAGCTCCCCTTTTGATTTCCGACTTCTCACCGCCTCCGCACAGCCGCACTCCCGAAACCAGGCCCAGCGCCACTCGAGCATCTGCTCCTCCAACAGGCAACGGAGACGGCAGACCAGTTGTTTGCTCCTTCTCACTCGCTCGGGCCTCTCTCTTCTGGTTTCCTTCTTGGCCGCCCGATATTGCAGCAGGCGCCGCCGCCGCCTCTCTGGTGTTCACCGCTAACTCGCTTCCTGCTGCAATTTTTGAAAGATAAAGATTGTATCAGCTCATCCCTCCGGAGGGTTCCGTTTGGCGGCATAGCTAGACCTTAGCTAGCTGTTACGAATAGTTTTAGGGAAGGTCGCTCAGTGCTGTTTCGAGTCCAAGGGAGCAGCGGCTGACCTGCAGAGAGGGATTCTTCGTTTGGACTAGATACAAGACAGGATGGAGTTGCATATGGAAAATCCCTGGTAATTATCTTCTTTGGGTGCAGCCAAATTTATTATCCTCCGAAGTTTTGTTGTTGTTGATTAAAGAGTTATGCACCGAATAAGAAGAGTTTGCTGCTTGAGTTTTGTAGTGAGGAAGGCGATAGCAATGCTCTTATCATGCCTGCGGGGAAAAAGAAGAGGAAAACCCCGAATCAGGTATTCCCAGTAAGCACTTTGATTACTGCCATCTAGTATATGCGATGTAAGAATATAATTCGATGAAGATTTGTGTTCCGAAGGAGACTGAAGCAGCTAAAAGAGCTAAAACCACCAAGTTGAGCAAATCTCAGAAGAGAAAGTTGAAGAAGTTGGAGGTACTTTCTTATGTTGCCTTTTACATGGTTTTCTTGGGATCGCTGGGTGTCTTGTTTATTGGAGTTCACCTGTTTCGTTTGTGCTCACAGGAGGAAAAGCAAAGGGCTTTTATGGTTTTGGAAAGCGAGAAGACCTTGGAGTAATGCACATACGATCTATCTCTCAGTCTTGCTTTTTCTATGTCATCTCGAAAACTTTAGTGATACTGATCGAACTAATATGGCCCTTGTTATCAGGAAGTACAAGATCCCAGAGGATGCATTTTCTCTTCTACGGTCGTCAAAAGACATTTGTCGGGTTTGTATTATCCGGTTCTTTCTTAATCGCTCATTTTAAATCCTCTTGGGTGTTGTTTCATGGGGTTAACTTTCTTACAGGCTGAAACTGCCAAAGAAAAACGTAGAATGGCAGTACAATTTTCAAAAGCAGGTTTAGAGGTTATACGTTCTGGTCAACCTTTAGGGGGTGAGTACGAACATCCGTCATCTGACTCTGAAACAGAGTCCGCAGAAGGAATTCAGTCAGGGCACGGCATCGACAAGGGTTCGGGAAGAGGACTTCCAATTTGTAATGCGCCCGTTCCACTGGTTTTGCATCAAGAAACAGTCAGAGGGTGCAAGAATGGCTATGGTTTTCGTCCTGTTTCTGAAGTATCTGCTGATAAAATATCTGAAAAGGACAACCAGAACCCAGTTCCAGTAGATGCTAGAAACTATTCTCCAACAAGTATTGATGTCAGAGGAAGCCCCAAAACGACGGTATGTTTCTTTTTATGTGTTGGTTCATATGTCCTTTGGAGTTCATTTTTTAACTTAGTTGGAGAATATAAGTTCAAATACAATTGCTATTGCTGTTTCGTTTGGTATTATTTTGGCAAAATTTTATTCACATGCTGGTATAGTTTACTTTTTCGTGCACAAGAGCACATAGATCTTGGTTCCTCCGGTAGACCATTTCACAGGCAGGTGGTAGTCTCTAATATTTTAATTGAGATGTCAACTGGAATAAAGGGGGAAAGTGGAATGGAATTGATAAATGAAGCAATGAGTAATTTTCTCATCCACAGCTGTAACATTTGCTTTGTGCGAGACAAAGGATTAAGATGTGACTTATGAAATATAACTTTGCATACAAGGGAAAAGTAGATACAATATACTGTTGTGAAGGACTGAGTTATACTCTAATGGAGAGCATCATGTTGTCCATATTCTGTATAGGCTAGTTAATACTAACTAAACTGCCTTCCAGCAGAATAAGCCCGAAGAAAACTCTACTGTACCATTGCCCAGCTCGAGCAAGTTTCCTGATTGTTCAATGCAACGAACACCAGTTATCCCAACAGTGGTTCATGTAAAAAGGCCTGATGAAGTGGAAGTGAAGAGGAAGGATCTTCCAATAGTCATGATGGAGCAGGAGATAATGGAAGCCATAAATGAGAATCTCACTGTCATTATATGTGGAGAAACTGGATGTGGTAAAACTACTCAAGTTCCTCAGGTGGCCACCTCTTTCTTCTTTGTTTCTTTTTCCTTTCCTTAATTCTGTGGAAGAATAAAAACTAGTAACTCATCTGTTTGCGTCATTCTGAGTTTTGTTGTGTGTCCTTTCTCAGTTCCTATATGAGGCTGGTTTTGGTTCTAAGCGATCTGCTGTTCGTGGAGGTGTCATAGGCGTTACGCAACCACGTCGTGTTGCAGTCCTTGCCACTGCCAGGCGCGTGGCATTTGAACTCGGTCTTCGTCTTGGTAAAGAGGTTGGGTTTCAAGTAAGACATGACAAGAGGGTTGGAGACAGTTCTTCCATCAAGTTTATGACTGATGGAATTTTACTTCGAGAAGTTCAGGTTTTGCTTCTATTTCAATCTAATTAATTGTGTTTGCTGGGGCAGTACTCTAATAATTTGTTTGAGGTTAGTTATGTACTGTGAGGTTTTTTGTTTAGTGACATTGTGTGGCAGCCGTGTTGTCTTCTGCTCTACTTTGTATTTATTTTCTCTTGCCTCCCCTCACAAATGCTAATTTGTTTTTGGTTGTGTTTATGTTCCCTTTTTCTGCTTTATTCTTTCTTGGTGGCTGGGTGCTGTGGAAAAAAGTGGTTTGTCTATGTTTATTTGCTTATGAATTTTTTATTACTTCATATATGCATCTTAGTTGGATACTTTATGTTCCTTTAGATCCAATACCTGAATTTCTAGATTTCAATTCGTGAATTTAAAAATGGTTAGTGCTAGCAGACATTGTCATAGGAATTTCCAGTTGTGTTACGGGGTTCTTTTATGTCTAAAAGTATTTTCATTCATTTTGTATGCATGTATCCCCTCATGAGTGGATTGCAGTTCAGATGTTGGTGTTTCCTTTTATATGTCAGGTTACTGTTGATGATCTCTCATAAGATTTTACTTCGTTTTCTAATGTTGACTGTGCTATGTTTCAAATGTAGAGTGATTTCTTATTAAGGCGCTACTCGGTCCTTGTACTGGATGAGGCTCATGAGAGAAGTGTTAATACCGACATACTGATTGGGATGCTTTCTCGTGTAATTCAACTCCGACAGGTAAAGTTTGCAGTACTAATAATTTCTTTTGAGCAATATAACTTAGGTGGTGGTGTTCTAATTTTCTTTATAAATAACTTGTGATGGCAGAAAAAGTACCAAGACCAGCAAGCAATGATGCTTTCGGGAGAAAATATAAGCCCTGAAAATATGATATTTCCTCTGAAACTGGTTCTGATGAGTGCCACCATGCGCGTTGAGGACTTTATTTCTGGCAAAAGGTTATTTCGTACCCCTCCCCCTGTTGTTGAAGTTCCTACCCGACAGTTCCCTGTGAGCATACATTTCTCAAAAAGGACTGAGGAAGTCGATTATATTGGTCAGGCCTACAAAAAAGTAAAAGCAATCCATCAGCGGCTTCCACAAGGGGGCATCCTTGTGTTCGTCACCGGGCAAAGAGAAGTGGAGTACCTTTGTCAGAAGTTAACTAGAGAATTGTCCAGGAAGCTGAACAAGGAAGCTGTGGAAAATAACACAGGAATAAGCGCAACTGGAAAATTTGAGCCAACTGAAATCGAGGGAATCAACATAAAGGACATCAATGAGGCATTTGAAGTTCCAGCCAACCCAATTGAGGATCAAACTGAATTCAAGTCTTATAATACTTCTGACTTTAGTGGCAGTGAATCAGATTTTTCTTCTGATTCTGAATCAGAAAGTGATCTGGAAATTGCTGATGATTTTCTAGAAGAGGATAGGTCACTAGAAAACGGTGATAAGTCTATGGATGTTCTAGGGGAGGAAAAAAGTCTTGCATCGTTGAAGGCTGCTTTTGAAGCTTTGGCTGGAAGGGGTAATACATCAGACTCCAATTCTGCAGGACTGCAGGATGTTTCTACACCAGGAGACCCCACAGTGCTATCCCATAACAGAGCAAGGGCAGAAAACTGTGGGGGAAAAGGTTCATCGTCGGGTCCCATTCGCGTCCTTCCTCTTTATGCAATGCTTTCTGCAGCAGCACAGCTCCGCATATTTGAGGAGGTGAAGGAAGGGGAGCGGCTCATCGTTGTTGCTACTAATGTTGCTGAAACTTCTTTAACCATTCCAGGGATAAAATACGTGGTTGATACTGGACGAGAAAAGGTGAAGAATTACAATCCTTCCAATGGCATGGAAACCTATGACGTGCAGTGGATCAGTAAAGCATCAGCTGCTCAACGAGCAGGAAGAGCTGGGCGAACTGGACCTGGGCACTGTTACCGTCTCTATACTGCAGCAGCCTTTGGCAAACTTCCAGACTTCTCTTGTGCCGAAATATCTAAAGTGCCTGTTGATAGCATAGTTCTTGTCCTGAAATCAATCAACATTGATAAGGTTAGTGTTCTATGGATGCGCAACTGCCTGGACTATGTAAATGGAATCTACCGTGGGTTAAAGTATGTTCTAGGTAGTCTTTTCAAATGCTCTTATCCCTGGCCATCCTAAGTTTATAACTATTGGTACATTTTCAATGGTCGGAGTAAATGATGTATCCCTCTGTTGCTATAACCACCCATACATATTTCACTGACATATTAACTATAAACTAGCCCTGTTCATTTGCAAATATATTAAAATACAGCTGGTAGCAATCTTTTGCTTGTTGATGAATTCTGTCATGGTGCTAATACTAGCCAAATACTTCTCGTGGCTTTGGTCTTGGAACTTTATTTAGGTGCCATATCTTGATTTATATAATTATTTTACTAAGTTATAATTCCCCTCATTTCCCGTATATTCCAGGTTGAAAACTTTCCATTCCCAACTCCTCCAGAGACCACTGCACTGAAAGAAGCAGAACGATGTTTGAAAACTCTTGAAGCACTTGAGAGTAATGGTAGGCTGACACCCCTGGGTAAGGCCATGGCTTGCTATCCCATGAGTCCTCGACATTCTCGGATGCTCTTAACGGTTATTAACATTATGAGGAAGGTGGAAAATTACGGTAGAGCAAATCTGGTTCTGGCATATGCAGTTGCAGCAGCGGCAGCCTTAAGCATGTCCAATCCTTTTCAATATCAGTACGGAACAGAGCAAGTGAACAACAGCAGTGCGACCGAGCAGGATGGTAAATCTGATGACTTAGACAGTCAGAAAAACATGACAAAGAAGGAAAAGCTGCTGAAGAAGCAACTGAAAGAAACGGCTAAAGTATCTCGTGCGAAATTCTCTAATCCTAGCAGTGATGCACTGACCATAGCTTATGCATTGAAGGCCTTTGAACTCTCTGAAGCTCCTGTGAAGTTCAGCAGTGAATACTTACTGCACTACAAAACAATGGAAGAAATGAGCAAGTTGAGAAAACAGCTTTTGCAACTTGTCTTTATTCAAAGTGCTACTTTGGCCTCTGATCACGATTTTGCATGGATTCATGGTACCAAAGAAGAAGTAGAACTGGCTTGGAGGGCTCCATCCAATAAGAATCCTCTTTTGCTGAACGAAGAAGAGCTTCTGGGTGAAGCTATCTGTGCTGGCTGGGCCGATAGGGTTGCCCGAAAGATAAGGGCCAACTCCAGGTCATTGGAGGGACATGGGAATGTAACTGCATCACGTTACCAAGCCTGTATGGTTGAAGAAACTGTGTTCCTCCATCGATGGTCGTCCCTTTCCAGTTCAGCACCTGAGTTCTTGGTGTACAGCGAGTTGCTACAGACGAAACGACCATACATGCATGGATCAACTAGTGTGAAGCCAGAATGGCTTGTCAAGCATGCTAGATCCATGTGCAGCTTTTCGACCGTGGACGATCCTAAACCATATTATGACCTTAAAACTGATCAAGTATTCAACTGGGTGATGCCAACTTTTGGGAATCATCTGTGGCAGCTTCCCCTGCAGGCAGTTCCGATCGGTAGCAAGGAGGAACGGATAAAGGTATTTGCTTGTGCCCTGCTGGAAGGACATGTTCTACGGTGCCTGAGATCCGTCAGGAAGTTCATGGCTGCTCGTCCTGCTATCATTTTGGAGCGAGAAGCTGCCGGAGAAAGACGTGTGGGCGACCTTCTGTTTAAAATGAAAGCCAGATCCATTGACAGTTGTGGAAGGTTAAGTGAGGTGTGGAGAGAGCACCCATTGGAATTGCACGACCAAGTCCAGAGCTGGTTTAAGAAGAGTTTTCATGATCAGTTTGAACAGTTGTGGTCTCAAATGCATGCTGAAGTTCAACTCGTGCCGCAAGAACGTTTACCTGGGAAGGTGAAGAGAGAACGCAGTCACAAGAAGTAAAATGTATCCGCATTGGAGAATCTGTGTGCCCACTTATCTAGGAGTAGGAGTTGGTGCACATCAATTTTGCAGTATCTTAGTGTATTAGAAGATTATTATTCCAAAAATCAATGAAACCAGAAGATGATTCCAAAATAGTTTGGCACCTATGCGTTATCTCTTCCTACATTTTTCAACATGACTTGCTAGATGAAGAAAATGAGGATCTGTGGGGAAGGGAAGGTACTCTCTAAATATTGGATATGAAGAATGAATGTATCTGAGCAGGCCAGAATGTGCTAACTAACCCTTCATGCTAACATCAATGGTGTGAAGGAGAAGGAGACGATGTCAATGGCCATCTATTGTTGAGGGTACGAATAGTATATTTAGGTAGTTTAGTATATTTTTGTGTTAGGTTGATTAGGGTTTTGAGTAAGAGTTGATATAATATATTTTAGTTCAAGAAATTATTGAAAAATCTATCTGGATACGCAAGACTCGTGCCTACAATAAATCGGTATCAAAGCCTCGTTGTCGGCACCCAAAGTCAAAATAATATGTAACCCGTCACAGTTCACGACATTGAAGGAATCTTTCCAGAATTATGTTCGATTCGTGGAAGAGCTACGAAGGACTACAAGGCGGAGGCAACAGAATACCAAGCCCCGCACTCAGTCGACGGCAGCTGACAGCTAGATGTATATGTGGAGGTCACTACAACTCCACCACCAACGCGCAAAGATCAGACTTCATTGCTACTTCCCGAGGACGGGAGTGCGGATCTGGTGACTAAGAGGGGCCCTTAGTCAACTAACTAAGTCACTCCTAACTCTTAGATCTAGCTAAAAAATCTAATGATTAAAACATGAAAAAAGCTATTTAATTAGTGCTGGAAGTAACTGTGGTATTATGAATAAATGGTTTTTATTTCTATTTTTCTTTATTTTCTTTGTCTCTCTTCCACCCATCACTCTCCCGTATCTCCCTCTTGCTTTGTTTACTAGCGCTCTTTTTTTTTTGTTGCCTTTACCTTATTTATATTTTTAACTAGAGAAATTTTATAAAGTATCTTCTCAAAGTATACAAAGCATAATAGAAAACTTACAAACTATAAATACAAAATATACAAATTTTAGAATAAAAGTCTACGAACCAATAATAGATGGTATACAAATCATAACATAAAAGTATAAAAATCATATCATGAAAAAAATATACAAACTAATATTACAAGGTAAAAAATATATCATGTAAATATACAAATAAATGAAACAAACTATACAAACCAGGTAATAAAAGCGTACAACCAATAATAAATATTATACAAACCAAACTATAAAAATGTACAACCTAATAATAGATGATATACAAATCAACAACTTATACAAACCCGATTATGAAAGTATACAAACCGACAATAACAAAATTAGAAACTAGTGCAGCAAAGTATATAAACTATATAATAAAATTTCAAATGAAAAGTATACTATTCAGATAATAAAAGTATACAAACAAAAATCAAAAAGTATACAAAGAAAATTATAAAAATATACAAATCATATTATAAACGTATACAAATATTATAAAATATACTTACAAACATTACAAACTAGACCTATAAACATTACAGAATTGTTGCCCCCCTCTCTGTGCACAATAAAAAGGCTTTCCTCTGCCGCCGCCAAAAAATAGTTTCCGACAATAATAATCTGCCCGGCAAAAAAGTCCACCACCAGCTTTTCTTTTTTCTAATTAAAAATATAAATACATAGTGAAATGAAATTAAAGCCCTTCTCCAGGAGTTTTATGAGTTGTCTGGACTTCAATGCAACCCTCGCAAGTGTGAAGTTTATTTTGGGGGTGTTCGGTTGATTTCAAGCGTCAAGCTCTGGAGATTTCTGGTTTTCAAGAGGGTAAGCTTCCAGTTCGTTATTTGGGACTCCCTCTCATTTCTGACAAACTTTCCTCTAATGATTGTGCTAGGTTAGTGGACAAAATCACTCAGAAAATTAAAAGCTGGAAAGTCAAAAGCTTAGTTATGCAGGCCGGTTGCAACTTATATCATTTGTTTTTATGGGAGTGTTGCAGTACTGGATGCAAGTATTTTTCCTACCCAAAAAGGTGCTTAAGCAGGTACATAAGGTGTGTTCTAACTTCTTATGGCATGGTGGTGATGAGGGGAAAGCTAAAGTTAGCTGGGAGGGATTAGCAAGGCCTCGAAAAGAAGAAGTGGGGCTTAAGGAACTGTTTTCCTAGAATCAGGCCTATACTACCAGGATGATTTGGCTACTGCTTATGCAAAGTGGGACTATATGGGTGGCCTGGATCACACAGTATCGGATTAAAACAGGTAGTATTTGGACAATAAGGTCCACATCTAGTAGCTCTTGTACTTGGAGGCGCATTCTTAAAGTTCGATCTGCTGTTCAAAGGCACTTCTCGGGGAAGGGTAGTTCATTATGTTGGGATGGCTCTCCTATGCAACGATATTCAGTTGGTCTAGTGTGGGATTCTATTCGGATGAGGTGGCCAAGGGTGGATTGGCATAAGCTGATCTGGGGAAAGGGTTTTCTACCTGGACCTAGTTTCTTAGCTTGGCTAATTCTCCAAGATAGCATTGTCACGAAGGATAAACTGCTAAAATGGGGAAAACAGATTGATAGTACCTGTGTTTTATGTTGCAATCTGCCTGAATCGAGGGAACATCTATTTTTTGAATGTTCTTTCTCGAAGGAACTACTAGTGCTACTCCACTGTGAGGACTGGTTCTGCAGGGGTGCTTGGACTAGCACTTTGTCAGCAACTTGTATGCTCAGTCGTAAAAACACACCTGCAGGGAGAATGGTGGGGTGGATTTGGTGCTTAAGTGCTGCAGCTATCTGGAAAGAACGGTGCAAGCAGGTTCATGGAGATGCTGGTCGAAGTGCAGAGCTGTTGGGCAAAACGATTCTACAGGGTTTACAATTTATGAGTATGATTAATAGTAATGTGCAGCGTGATATGCAGGTGTTAGGAATGGGTCTTTAAAACAGATTGTTTGGTGGGGTTGTAGCGGTGTGGTGATTTGAGAGGGGCCTGCCCTCTTGTTTCCTTTGTTTCCCTGGGATTTGTATTGTCCCTTCGTTGTATCAGACTCTTGCTTTTACCTGTTAATGAGAAGAACTGATTCAACGGAAAAAATAAATAAATTAAAGCCCTTATTAATTATTATAAGCAATCAGAGACATGAAAGGTTGTACACCAGCCTCCATATGAGCCTAAGATAGATACATACCATATAAGAAGAGTTTTCTGACAAATTATGATAGCTATTATAAGCAATGACCATAGTAGCACACAATAAATAATACAAGCATAAGATGATTGTTACATTAGATAACTAAACTTAAGATGATGCAAGCATGACTAATAGAGGCATATAATGAACAAAACATCTCATATAATCATTGAAAGTAGATGCATGAAGTATCATAGAATTAACATACCTAAATAATACATACTTAGTTAGCCGCTAGAAATGAAGAAGACATAACCGCTGATGATGAAGGCATCATCGCCTTGCTCTGACAGAATTTCGATTGTTTTTTTTTTTTTGTGTATATTAGAGTGTCTAACAACTAAAGGTTAAGCTCATATTTATAGTACAAGAAAAAGGGTATTCTTGGATTTTTTTTCTCCAAAAACTCGACCTCCATGTACTACTTGGACTCAAATTTTCTGACTTGGAGATGAAGTAAGAGACTTCTAGAAGGGTCAATGGACTTTTGGGTCGCTCGGTCATTGGTTTTCTTCTTGCTTTGGGTCGCTTGGCCCACAAGAAACCTCTCCATGAATTTTGGTTGTGACTTGTTGGGTTTGGTCTTGTGGCGGTTGGCACCATCACAAGGCCGCCGTGGGTTTCTTTTCAATCTTGGGTTGAAATTTCTCTAGTATACTCCGCTTGGGCTTATGTTACGATTTCATGAAGGCTTCCCCTCAATTGGGCTTCGTTTAATGGAAGAACCATCCTTGATCATCTAATAATTACCCCTTTTGATCCTCCACCTTGATCCAATTGTAGATCCAACTCATCCTAGATAGCGTTTGACCTTGAAAAGCACAAATAATACAAAAAGGCATAAAATGATACTAAAACATATCCTAGGTCTACTATAAGCACATTGATCAAATAATTATGATTTCTACAGAATACATAGCAAAATATAATAATGATGCAACAATAGAATGTATCAAATATGAGAATGATAAACACTATAATTCGAGTGTCATAAGTTCTTTAAGGTGTTTGTCTATTGTGGGGGATCTGAAAATCTCGCAAATGGTGCATTTTGCGGGTGGCATGGTTGTGCTCAGCTCAGAGGGTGGGGTCCTGTTGGCTAAAGGAGCCCAGTTCTCGATTATTGATGACCCGTTAGTTGTTGAGGTATTGACGCTTCGGGAGGCTGTGCAGTGTGTTTAGCCCAAGGGTTTAGTGAGGTTCACTTTGAGGGGGATGCGAAGGTGATTATCGACAAAATTCGGCGAATGGAGGCAGCGGATAGTAGGGTGGGGGCTGTTCTTATTGGGATAGTGCAATTATTTTCTCTTCATCCTGGTTTGAGTATTCGATTTGTAGGTCGGCGTAGTAATAGGATAGCCCATTTGGTGGCTAGAAAGACCCTTTCAATGTACCCGACTGCGTGTCATGTTTTTTATTTTCAGGCCTGGCTGCATTCCAGGATGTAACTATCTTCTCATTTTGATCGATATATATCTTTTGTTAAAAAAAAAAGAGTTATATCAACCACATGTATTGGTCCTTGCTACTCAATTTTCTTTTCAAATTAGAGAATTCTCTTGGTCACTCCTTCCTCCTTTGGTTTCCATTCTTCATCCCTCTCCTCCGACTGTCTGGTGCCCTCCTCCTCTAGGATTTTTGAAGATTAATTTTGATGCGGTTCTTCGTGAATATGCTTGCTCATTTAGAGTAGTTGTTCAGAACTCGGACGGCTACACACTCATACAACTTTGTAACAGAGCTTCTTGCAGCCCGTGCGACCATTTCTCTTGCGATGGATCACTAGATTGAGAGGGTGGTTGTGGACGGTGATTCCAAAGTTGTCATCCATCAGATCCAGAAAGGCATTTAGTCTGATGCCTTAGGTAGTCCTATCATGCGTGATTGTCTTCAGCCGATCTCATACATTCTACTCGGTGTAGTGTTTAGGTCGATTCGTCGAGTTGTTGATGGGATTGTCTAGAGAGTGTCACGTAAAGCCCTTTTCTTGTCTTTGTTTGAGTTTGCGTCTTTCCATTTTAATGTCTTATTGTTGCAGTGGTGGGTTTTTGGTTGTAGGTAGGGAAGAATTTTATTTTGCTAGTTGTGTTCTTTCTTGACATTTCTTGGTTAAAAATAGGTTTAGCCTTTTAAGTGGGAGAGAAGGGGGAAAAGGTGGGGGAAATCATAAATAAATAAGAATGGAATGAAGATAGCGTATA